TGGCTTCCAATGTCTATAGATGCTCCAAGACCTAACAGCCTATCTCCTTTCCCAGTCGTTTCCCCTATTCCTTAGCCCTCAGCTCCCCCTCCACCTTACTTCTTTACCTATGACTGTCCTCTGATCTATCTTGTGTTTGGGAAGGTCTCAAGGGCCTTGGAAAAAACCCCACACTTGTCCCTCTCCTCCTTCCCCCCTTTCCCCAACATTGTAACTGGGAAGGTGGGTGTTTGAATCCTAGGAGGCCTGGAGAATTTTTTCCTCTACCCCTTACCTCTTGCCCTCTGTGGGCTCTAGGTACTAAGCACAAGACAATTCTGGAGGCCCGAAGTGGGCTGGGACCCATCAAAGCTTACCCTCGACTGGGACCTCCCACCCCGGGGGAACCAGAGGCTCCTGCCCAGGACCGAACTTTCCACTGTGAGATCTGCAATGTCAAGGTCAACTCGGAGGTCCAACTGAAACAGGTGGGTCTAAGGTCGGTCCCAGACCCTTCCCTGCTAAGGGTGGGAAGGAGAACAACAGCTTGGGTAAGGGTCCTTCTTCAGGGTCTTCCCCAAGGTCGCCAAAGGAGGCAAAGCCAGGTGCTTTCAACGTGATCTGTGGCCGTGCCCCCTCGCGGTTGTTTTTTTTCTGGAGCTCACAGACCCCTACCCACTCCCCCCCCCCAGCACATCTCCAGCCGAAGGCACCGAGATGGCGTTGCCGGGAAGCCCAACCCACTACTAAGCCGTCACAAGAAGTCTAGGGGCGCCGGGGAGCTGGCGGTGAGTTCTGGACGCTGGGGAATGCGGCAATGGGAGGACCTGGGCGAGAAGCAGAGAGGGACATGGGCCTGGCCCCGGGAGAGGTGGAGTTTGCCGGACAGCAGGATGACTTCTCTCTCTCACCCCACCTCTCTCCCCGCTCAGGGCACGCTGACTTTCTCCAAGGAACTGCCCAAGTCCCTGGCGGGTGGCCTCCTCCCCAGCCCCCTGGCGGTGGCTGCGGTGATGGCAGCGGCTGCAGGCTCCCCGCTGTCCCTGCGCCCAGCTCCAGCGGCACCTCTTCTCCAGGGACCGCCGATCACCCACCCCCTGCTCCACCCGGCCCCCGGACCCATCCGAACTGCGCACGGACCCATCCTCTTCTCCCCCTACTGACCTCCACCCTGAATCCCTCCCAATCAACTCCCCACCTCCAGCCGGGACCCAGGCCTCCGGGCTCCCAGCCCGCTCCTCCTCCTGGCACTCCCTGAATGATCTCTCCTTCCCCCCCACACCCCGAGGTTCGGGGTTCCAGGAAAGGGGAGGGGTAGCGGGGGAGGGGGGCTTCAGAAGGGGGGGAACACCCCAGATCTCAGGGAACCCCGCCCCCTGCCTTTCCCTCTCCCCTAGAAAAGGGGGGGCCGTCTCACCCCCGAGCCCCCTTGGAGACACCCCCCCTCCCAAAAGCCATGTCCATCCATCCTTTCCCCCCCAAACCTAGCACAAAACGGGGTTCACAAGCCATGGTCGGGGTCCAGGGGGCAGAAATGGATTTTCTTGGCAATAAGCGGACTCTGGAACTCCGGCCCCCTACCCCAAACTGAAGCGCTTCCGTGAACACCCCCGTCCTCCGCAGGGGGAGGGGAGCAGGTGGGATCCTGGGTCCCTCATAAGCACTTTGGTTTTACCGCCTGCAACCTCACTGTGCCCACCCCGCACCATGCCCCAGCCCCAGGTCTAGCCGGGCCCATTGCAGGGGGCAGCACTTGAGGGCATCTCTGGCACTTGGGTGGGACCAAGGAGATGCCCCCCATAGACCTTTTCCTCGCCTTCTTCCTTCCCAGTCCGGGTTCCATTCTTTTCACCAGCACCCATCGCCCAAGGGGTACCGAGGGGGGCAAGGGGTGTCCAATCCAAGCCCACCCCCGCCTCGCCTTCCGCAAAACTGTGAGCAAAAAGCAATAGAAGCCTCGCCCCCGCCCCTCCCCTTTCCGCAGGATTCGCCGAGTCTGTAGCCTCCCCGTCCCAGCTCCTAGACCTCATGGCTGTCCCCTCCCACCAGACACCTCCACTGCACAACTCGGGTGGGGGCGTGACACCCCCCCCCTTATGGTTTCCGTATTGTCAGCCCTCCTGCCGCAGACCCGGGAGTGGACTGGCCCCCACTGGCCTTCCTCTTCCCATCAACTCTTTCTGCTTGACAATGTAGCAACCCCGGCCCCTTACCCACGTCCTCCCCTTTTTCCTCTCCCTGACAATAAAGTCTGAATTCGTTCTGCCCTCCGCCCCCCAGACTCAGACTCTGTCTTTGCCAGGAGATGTATCTGTAGGGTGCAGGGGACTGGCACACATAGAAAAGGGAGCAAGAAAGAGCAGGGGGACGGGAAGACAGGGTGGGGGAAGGCAAGATACGAGGCTCGTGCAAAGCGAGCAGAGGCTCCCATCCCACCCACCCCCACTCCCGCCCAGCTCGTGTAAACTTGGCCTAGCTAGGGGAATCATTTCGAGTCCCGGTCTGGAACTGCAGTTGCAGCTGTTGGAAATTTGCCGCAACACCACCAGGCGGCGCCAACGACCCAGAAAAGGAGTTTCCCCTAAGCTAAGCCGCTCCTGTGACGTGTCTCGCGATTCTAGGGAGACGGGTCTAGACACAGTCTCAAAGGAATTTGTGCGTCCGGTGGGCAGGGACTGCGGGTCTGAGCTCTAGGTTCTGGTTGGCCCTATATGAAGTGACCTTGGGTCAGTCTTTGCCCTCTCTGGGTCTCACTGTCGCCATCTGCAAAAATGAGCAGGTTTGAGTCATTTAAAGGTTCATTGAGACTTCATGTGTCCAAGACTGAAAAACTGGGACTGTGCTATTTACAAATGCGCAAAATACCTTCTCATCTAGCCCCCTAAATGGTCTATAGGACAGAAGAGCACACCGCTCAGCTGCCTCTCACGTGGTGCGTGGGGGAGGAGTTTCCTCATTAAACCCAAAATTCAATTCAACCATACACTGGCAGTCGGTAATCCTGTGACCCCTTCTCTCTAGCCCTGCTGAGTGACAGGAAGCTGAAACCAAAAAAATCTGACTAAAACCCAGCAGCTATGTGAGATACTTCTGACTTGCTTCTTCTTTGATCAGTTCCCCCTCTCTACCCACTTCCCAGTCTTGCAGAAGAAAGGAGGAGGGAAGGTGGAATGATAACTGTTAAAGAGGAAGAAGGGAATAGGGGCCTCCTAGGTTTGTCAACTGTGAAGTTGGGGGTGAGGGTTCACTATGGGTTCAGAAATGGAACCCAACAAGAAGCTTTTTGTTGTTGTTGTTGCTGTTGTTTTTCAGGTTAATCTAGCTTAAAACCAAAACCAACCAAACAAACAAAAAAACGGAGTTCCAAAAGGATGAGGGGCAAGAGTGGCCTATAGAAGAGTGGGTAGAGGCCGGGCGCGGTGGCTCACACCTGTAATCCTAGCACTCTGGGAGGCCAAGGCGGGCGGATTGCTGGAGGTCAGGAGTTAGAAACCCGCCTGAGCAAGAGTGAGACCCCGTCTCTACTATAAATAGACAGAAATTAATTGGCCAACTAATATATACAGAAAAAATTAGCCGGGCATGGTGGCGCATGCCTGTAGTCCCAGCTACTTGGGAGGCTGAGGCAGTAGGATTGCTTGAGCCCAGGAGTTTGAGGTTGCTGTGAGCTAGGCTGATGCCAAGGCACTCACTCTAGCCTGGCAACAAAGCGAGACTCTGTCTCAAAAAAAAAAAAAAAAAAAGAAGAGAAAAACAGGAGCTGGGTCACATGTCTGGAGAGAGCTAAAGGCTGGAAGAAATTGGGGTTAGGTTGGGATACTAACATGCCTCATAGGTACCTCACACCTGCTAGTTTAAAACTGAATTCATTATTTACCCCTTTCCCTACACCTGCTTCTCCTCCCATATTCCCTATTCTATTGATTAAGAGCACTACCATCAATCTGGAAAACAGGGAGTCATTCTAGTTCCTCCTTCTTCCTAACTTCATCCAATGAATCACTAAATAAGTCCTATTTGATCTCTTGAAGGCCTGTGGATCCTGATCATTGTTCTCCATTCCTGCAACCTCTGCCCTAACCAGGTCTGGGTATGTAATTTGTAGGGCCCAGTGCAAAATGAAAAAGCAGGGCCCCTTATTCAAAAAGTATTAAGAATTCCAAGAGAATGACTGAAGAGCATTAAACCAAGCACCAGATCCTGTTAAGTGCAGGGCCCTGTGCTATTACACTGGTGGCCTGGCCCTAACACAGGCCTTTCTACTTCTTGTCTGAACTGTGTCTCTATACTGGTCTTCCAGCCTGCATGCCTTCACTCCTTACTCACAGCAGAGTACAAATCTCCCTATCTCCTTCAGCATAAAACCCCAGCTCCTTATCATGATACACAAGGTCCTCCTATCTGGCTCTTCAGGCTCTTCTGTGTTGCTCCATACTTCACACCCCTTTGTTAGCTTCTACCTAAACCTCTGTGCTTCTATGCATATTTTGTTTTGTTTAGAATGTCTTTCTACCTATCTCCCCAAAAATCTCCCAGTTCATCATTCAAAACTCAACTCAGGTATTTCTCTGTGAACCCTTTCCTGACCTCTTCCTTAGTATTTGCTCCTTTTCTGCTCAAGCCCTTGATATGCATGGTTTTCCTTGTTTGTGTGTTTGTTTTTGAGACAAAGTCTCACTTTGTCACCCAGGCTAGAGTGCAGTGAGGTCATCATAGCTCACTGCAACCTCAAACTCCAAGGCTCAAGAGATCCTCCTGCCTCAGCCTCTGGAGTAGTTGGGACTACAGGTGTGTGCTACTATGTCCAGCTAATTTTTCTATTTTTTTGTAGAGATGGGGTTTTGCTTTTGCTCAGGGTGGTGAAATACAATATTTCAAAGCAAGCCTCAGCAAGCTTTTTCTTAAAAGGCATGATAGCAAATATTTTAAACTGTGTTATCCAAGAGACAAAATTGAGGATACACATAGGTACTTATATAACATTTTTAAATGGGAAAAAACATTTTTAGGTCATGGGCCATACAAAAAAAGATGGTAGGCCAGATTTGGCCCATAGGCCAAAGTTTACTGACCCCTGCTTTAGAGAACCAATTAAGCATATATATATATCTGTCTCCCCTTTGGACTATTCAGACCTTCTTGTATCTCCAGTGTCTTATTCAGAGTCAGCTGCACAGTAGGCACTCAATACAGACTTGTTGAGTGAATGGATGAATGAATGATGGAACAGGAGCCTGAACCCCTGTGGGGAATGAAGCCAGAAACCTGTATGCCTCATTTGCCACCTTTCTTCATCAGACTTCTTTTCTCAGATGTGCTAAGGTGTCACATGGAGCCATATGATTTGAACCATGTAGGAAAATACAGCTCAAGAGTAACAAACAGCTAGACTGGGTTTGAATCCCAGCTCTGCCACTTACTAGCTGTGTGACCTTGAACAAATCACCTCTCCTCTCTGAACCTCAGTTTCTTTATCTATAAATGAGGAGGCAAATAATACCTGTCCTAGTGGTTTGTCTCTCCAAGCCCTGGAAAGAAGAAAGGCAGGGTTCTTCCAAAATAAACCCAAGGTTTCTGGGGTGCTTAAAGTTGCTCCTGAAACCTAGTCTTATCTTTTGGCCCCTTGAGAAGCAGCCCAGATGTTCTGATGCTCTGTCTCTATGTCCCAACAATTCTTGGCAATGATCTTATAAGTGGTCTGTCATGCAAAGAGGGGAAGGAAACAGCTTGAGTCTCAGGAAGGATAAAGGAGAGTGAAATGACTCTGGGGTAAGTAGCAGAGTAATTTCAACAGAAAAGCCTAGATTTCACTAGCCAAAGGAAAATGCGTAGGACCGTAGGACCGGAGGTGGGGAAGGAAGTGGCTGAGGTTGGGTAACTGCGGAGTTTCTTATTCTTTCAGTCTACTATAATAGGATACATGACAGCAGGATACCTCCTGCTTAAAGCCTGACTGTCCACCAGAAAGGACTGCTCTTTGGGTGAGTTGAACTTCTTCCGCTGGAAAGAGAATTAGAAGCTTGGAGACTCAGATAAATACTTTTGTGATGGGTATACTTTTACCTTTTCAGTCTCCTCATCTACCAGGTGGTAAACAAAAAAAACTGAAGCCTATATGTGTATATAGTGGAGAGGAACAGAGGGAACTGTAGCGGTATCCTGAAACAGAGAGGGATCATTGGGGAAAGGCAAGGAATTAGAAAAGTTGCAGGGCACTGGGTTTACTAAGAGCATCTGGATGGATATTGAAGAGGCCTGGGGTTAGATAGAAACTAAGAGATATTTAGATAAGAACTTGGGAAAATCTTTGGGAATGGGAAAAAACTAAAAAGAGCCTAAGGAGAGAGGTGAGGATTTTGAGATTAAGAGGGCTAGGAATGGCTCAGAAGGATAGAGAATTAAGGTGAGCTCCAGTAGCCATTCAGATGTCCAAAGGCCCAGAGCTATTCAAGAGAGCTAACTTGATGGCCAGGTTCTGATTCCCTCTTCCTCTTCTACCTCCTGCCTCTTTAGCCTCCATCATGTGGAACACCTCTGACGCCAACTTCTCCTGCTACCACCAGTCTGTGCTAGGCTATCGTTATGTTGCAGTTAGCTGGGGCGTGGTGGTGGCTGTGACAGGCACTGTGGGCAATGTGCTCACTCTACTGGCCTTGGCCATCCAGCCCAAGCTCCGTACCCGATTCAACCTGCTCATTGCCAACCTCACACTGGCTGATCTCCTCTACTGCACCCTTCTCCAGCCCTTCTCTGTGGACACCTACCTCCACCTGCACTGGCGCACTGGTGCCACCTTCTGCAGGTTATTTGGACTCCTCCTTTTTGCTTCCAATTCTGTCTCCATCCTTACCCTCTGCCTCATTGCACTGGGACGCTACCTCCTCATTGCCCACCCTAAGCTCTTTCCCCAAGTTTTCAGTGCAAAGGGCATAATGCTGGCACTGGTGGGCACCTGGGTTGTGGGTGTGGCCAGCTTTGCCCCCCTCTGGCCTATCTATATCTTGGTTCCTGTAGTCTGCACCTGCAGCTTTGACCGCATCCGAGGCCGGCCTTACACCACCATCCTCATGGGCATCTACTTTGTGCTTGGGCTCAGCAGTGTTGGCATCTTCTATTGCCTCATCCACCGCCAGGTGAAACGAGCAGCACAGGCGCTGGACCAATACAAGCTGCAACAGGCAAGCATCCGCTCCAACCATGTGGCTGGGACAGATGAGGCCATTCCTGGTCGTTTCCAGGAGTTGGACAGCAGGATAGCATCAGGAGCTCCCAGTGAGGGGACTTCATCTGAACCAGTCAGTGCTGCCACCACCCAGACCCTGGAAGGGGACTCATCAGAAGTGGGAGACCAGAGCAACAGCAAAGTAGCTAAGCAGATGGCAGAGAAAAGCCCTCCAGAAGCATCTGCCAAAGCCCGGCCCACTAAAGGAGCCCGAAGAGCTCAGGAATCTTCATCAGAGTTTGGAAAGGTTACTCGAATGTGTTTTGCTGTGTTCCTCTGCTTTGCCCTGAGCTACATCCCCTTCTTGCTACTCAACATCCTGGACGCCAGGGTCCAGGCTCCCCGGGTTGTCCACATGCTTGCTGCCAACCTCACCTGGCTCAATGGATGCATCAACCCTGTGCTCTATGCAGCCATGAACCGCCAATTCCGCCAAGCATATGGCTCCCTCATAAAACGAGGGCCCCAGAGTTTCCGTAGGCTTCGTTAGAACTGCGTCGCCAGTCACCAGAACCCAGAACTGTTTCCTGCAGAACCAAAGTGGCCAGCTGATACGAGAACAGGTGAAAGCAAGACCTGTGGGCATTTTCACAGACAACCTCTCCCCACTCCCAAACCAGTGTCTTTGTCCCTTAATCAATGTTTCAGCCCTAGGCTGCCTAAGGAGTATTATTGATTATTAATAAATGAATTATATGCTTTTAATGTTCAGATGTGATCTCTGAGGAAGATGGAAATAAGTCAGGGTTTGTTTGGAGCTGGAACCTAACAGCTGAGGATTTGGGGGAACCTAGTCAGAGTAGGGGCAGGAAGCAGCTGGCCTGGGATATAGCCTTCAGCTAAGAGGTTTCCAGGTTGTAAAACATATAAAATGGTTTAAGAGGATTAGCCTTTTTATTTAACTTCCCAAAAATGGCCCCTGCCCCTAACCCACTGCTGCAGGGACACCCCATCTCTGCAAACAAATTTATTCAGCTCAAAAAAGTTTTATACAGGCCGGGCGCTGTGGCTCACGCCTGTAATCCTAGCTCTTGGGAGGCTGCGGCGGGCGGATTGCTCAAGGTCAGGAGTTCAAAACCAGCCTGAGCAAGAGCGAGACCCCGCCTCTACTATAAATAGAAAGAAATCAATTGGCCAACTGATATATATATATAAAATTAGCCAGGCATGGTGGCGCATGCCTGTAGTCCCAGCTATTCGGGAGGCTGAGGCAGAAGGATCACTCGAGCCCAGGAGTTTGAGGTTGCTGTGAGCTAGGCTGACGCCACGCGCACTCACATCTAGCCTGGACAACAAAGCGAGACTCTGTCTCAAAAAAAAAAAAAAAAGTTTTATACAGACTAAGCAAGAGCAAGACCCTATAGAAAACAGAAAAATTAGTTGGGTGTGGTGGCACCTGTGTAGTCCCCAACTCTAGGGAGGCTGAGGCAGGAGGATCACTTGAACCCAGGAGTTTGAGGTTGCAGTGATCTATGATGATACCACTTTGCTCTAGCTCAGGTGACAGAGTGAGACTCTGTCTCAAAAAAAAAAAAGAAAAAAGTTTTATAATTCAGCTTTTTTTTTTTTTTTTTTTTTTTTTTTTAGACAGAGGCTCACTCTACTACCCCGACTGGAGTGCTGTGGCATCAACCTAGCTCACAGCAGCCTCAAACTCCTGGGCTCAAGCAATTCTTCTGCCTCAGCCTCCCAAGTAGCTGGGACTACAGGCATGTGCCACCACACTCAGCTAAATTTTTCTATTTTTGGTAGAGATGGGGTTTCGCTCTTGATCAGGCTGGTCTCGAAATCCTGAGCTCAAATGATCCGCCCGCTCGGCCTCCCAGAGTGCTAGGATTACAGGCGTGAGCCACCGCGCCAGGCCTATAATTCAGCCTTGATATCTACTACAGTGAGTCTAGCTCCCTGGCCCTTCCCTATACAAAGGGAATGGTCATGGAGGGAGACTCCTTGCTCTACAGAAATGGAACTGAGCTTGGCTGAGGCAAAGGCAGACAAAGGCTTCAGCTGCCCTAGCAGGGTCTCACTCATTGGGGCTAATTCACCTGAGTCCCAGGCCCTCGCTTCCCTTGCACTTGTTATCCTGGCTTATGAAAGCAGAAGAACAGAGATTTTAGTTAAGAGGGCTAGGGGACCAGGCCAAGGGGAGACCATACCATTCCTTTTCTCCAGCACTACCAACAGCCCATCACTGTGTGCATGCTTACACACATCCTTAAAGCACCTGTGGCCACCAGGTGACGCTGGTTCTCTGTGTTTCCTTTCTGGCTTCCTTGTTGAGCACAGAAGCTGGGAAGCCAGACTCCTGACCGGAGAGTAGAGACCCAGGGACCTGCACTGTCGCTTTTTCCCAAAGCTTAGGAAGAAAAGTGAAGAATGAGATATTCGTTATTCATGAGGTAGTTATTATCTACTTGGGGCAAGGCCCGGGGGGAGTAGCAGGGTGGGCACCATGGTGGCACTGAGGATGGAATATGAGAGTCATGCTGACATGAACACTCTGGCTACATGCTGTCCCCTCCCTACCCCTACAGCCATGGTTTGAGGGAACAAAGTGAAGTCTAGAGAGATTCAAACAAAGGCAGAAAGAACCACAGTTGTGGCGGACAGAACAATACCCTCACATGCTACCCACTTCCATGGCCCAAGAATCCTGACTCCTAACCTGGAACATGCACTTCTAGGTGACTTCCTTCCACAAAAATCATAGCAACCTAAACTGAGTCAAAGTGGGGCTACTGAGGCAGGAATCCAGACAGGTAAACTGCAGGACCAATGAAGAACTTCAGCCTAGGAGTGTAGAGATGGTTTTAGTCAAGGCTCTCTGATAATTAGCTCTGTGAACTTGAGCAGATCTCTGGACCACTCTGGGCCTCAAGTTTTATCACCTGTACAAAATGGAGTGTGTGGTGTGGGGTGTACTCTTACCGTGTGCCCAGTGCAATTCTAAATCCATTTTTTTTTTTTGAGACAGAGTCTTGCTCTGTTGCCCAGGCTAGAGCGCCGTGGTGTAAACCTAACTCACAGCAACCTCAAACTCCTGGGCTCAAGCAATCCTTCTGCATCAGCCTCCCGAGTAGCTGGGACTACAGGCATGCACCACTATGCCCAGCTAATTTTTTCTATATATTTTTAGTTATCCAGATAATTTCTTTCTATTTTTAGTAGAGATGGGGGTCTCGCTCTTGCTCAGGCTGGTCTTGAACTCCTGACCTCAAGCTATCCTCCCACCTCGGCCTCCCAGCGTGCTAGGATTACAGGCGTGAGCCACCGTGCCCGGCCTAAATCCTATAAATATATTATTTCATGTAATTCTCACAGAAGTACCATGAGTACCTATTATAATCTCTTCCTTACAAATGAGAAAACTGAAGCACATTTAGGTTAAATAATTGTCAGATGTTGAAGGGCTACTGAGTTATATGACCATGATTTGAGGGCCAAGTCTAACCACTACAGGACAGCTGCCTTTCTAAAACTAGAATCAAATGATCAGATATCCCTAACTGTCCTTCTTACTCAGACCTTCTAAGAATCCGGAAGTCAACAACTCTCTGGAGGGCTGTAAAAGGATTTACTCTTCGTAGTCCTTGAAGGCAATTCAAAAGTTTGTCAAGTAGAAAGGAGCTGCAGTAGGGATTGAGGTTAGACTTCAGAAAGGACTTCCCAATTATCATTCACTGGATGATAAAAAATTACTCAGGGGACGCTGGAAAAAATGACTCAGGGGAAACAGGGGGACACCCTGGAGTCTGAGAGCAGAGAGGAAAGATCTTAGCAAGAAAGCAACCTTTTCCTTTCTCACCCCCTACTCCCCACACACCCACCAACGCTCCTAATTCAATAAGGGCAGAATGAAGGAAAAGAAAGGGAAGAAAAACAAAGCTTCCTTCAAGCGTTCTCTCTTGAGGGTGTGCCTGGCCCGTGTGTCCATACACCAGGTCCCGCACGGTGCGTGGCTCACGCGTGCCTCGGGGAAGTGTGTGCGTCTGGGGGCCCTGTATGCACATGAGTGTGAGCCAGTGTCTGTCTCGCTTGGTCTCTCTGTCTCTGTCAGTCTCCCGCCGGAGCCCAGCTCTATCGCTGACTTCCTGACGCTATCTCTCACGGCTTCTCTTTGTCTCTCCCCATCTGTCCGTCTCTCCTGTAGGCTGTCTTCATCTCTTGTACCACCTCTGTTATCGCCTTTTTCTTCCTAAGCTCGTTCTCTCCCTCCTCCTCCCCCCGGCCCCCGGCCCCCGCCCCCCAGTCCCCCAGTCCCCCGCCCGGCTGCTCTTGCTCGTTTGCACACTCTCTCTCTTTCGCTGTCTCTTACAGGCAGATTTATGGTCAGCCCAGGGCCTTTCATTGGCCAAGCGCTGACAGAACTTGATTTAACGCCGCCTCTCATTGGCTGAGCTTGACAGGCCGATTTACGAGTCACTCTACCATTGGCCAAACCGCCTTGGCCCTGATTTATGGCTCAGTGGCTGCGGGGGTAGGGGGTGGGGAGGGGGCGCAGCTGGGGAATGAGGATGCCCCTCCCCTCGCCACCGCTTCCCTCTCCCTCTCCCTCTCCCTCTGCCCTGCTTTTTCTCTTCTTTCTTTCCCTCCCCTCAAAGAATCGTGCTCCCTCTACCTGTTCCTCAAGCCCCCTCCTCCCCTCGTGCACTGGGAGGGGAAAACGGGGTGTGGTGGTGGGAACTGAAGGGAAGATGGGGTCTAGAGGGCACCTGTGGGCGGGGGAGTCTGAGGGGTGCGGTAGGGCCGAGCAGGGAGAGGAGAGGACACTGAACAGGGAGAGAGGAGACTGAACTGGAGTGAAAAGGGGAAACTGAGGGGGCAAAGTGATGACAGAAAGAAAAGGCTGAGGGAGAGAGAGGGTAGAGGAGATAAGGGGAGGACCGTCTGAAGAGAAGGAGGAGAGACTGAAGGGAAGGGGCGCATTTGAGGGGCAAATGGGCTAAAGCAGGAAGATCCGGGCACTGAGAGGGACTTTTCTTTTCAAACCTCACTATTCAGACTGAATAAGACACAAAAATTTCATTTTCAGACAACAGCTCTGAAAAGAGAAAGGCTTAAGGCTTAGAGAGGAGCAAAGACATAGAGAAAGGCGCAATAAAGAGGTAAAAGGTTGGACTGATTCTTAATATCAGGGAAAAATTTTTTTAATTAAAAAAAGAGAGCGAGAAGCAGGAAAGGATAACTGGAAGGTAATAGCAAAGCAAAGAAGGAGGGGGAAGGATAAAGAACTAATGGGGAGGACCAGACCCAGACCTAAGGATGGGGATTTGGGGGGAGAGCAGGGTGCAGTGAAAAAAAGACTAATCCCCAGAGGAAGTATTGAGAGAAAGGACTCCTACTCCCCCTCTCTATGCAGTCCCATTGGTGTCTGCATGAGGACAAGTCAGGCACCTCCCGCAGGAGACATTCTGCTTCAAGGCTGCAGTAGGCTTCCCATTCCATACACCTCACTCCTCCCCCTTGCCCACCTCCCCAGTTAAATTTATGAGTCCAGGGTTGTTGGCCTTCAGGAATTAGGGATATTTATGCCTCTTTGAGAATGAGGTTTGGAAGGTGATAAATAAGGGGCCATGGGGGGTGCTGATGGGGGCTCCTATATTTAACATGGCCACTTTCCCAAGGCCCCCACCCACCCATTCCCTCTCATCCTGAGCCAGAGGAGGAAGGTGGGGAATGGGTTTCAGATATCAGGAAGGGAGTTT